CACAAAACTACATTTCAGGATTGTGTCTCAAAACTGCAGTATTCAGAACATTACTGTTCAAAAAACATCAGCATACAAGTAAATAAATTTAAAACCAAACAACAGTATTTAAAATGTTTTCAGTAGCAAGAAGAATTTAAAATACCTTCCATCACATAATGTAGCAGCACTGAAAGGAGTTGTACCTTGTGTGTAAGTCCAGTAGTAACAAATGTAGTTCTGTTATGCATTGAAGAGGTGGCATCTTGGCCGTTAATGAGGCCAGCAGAATGCTGGATGGAAGCTTAAATTTTACTTCAGTTTACACCTCACTGCACACATGTGAACTGAGCTTTTTGTTTTAAGAAATTTGTTAACTCTTCACATTCAGTAGTACCATTGGAGATGGAAATGGAGGTTTTACTTCCGCACAAAGATAAAGACACAAAATATTGTCATGGAATGCTTGCTTTAGAAAAAGAACTGCACATCTAGTTAATGCTTTGTTTGGTTTGTTTTTTCTTTATTTTTCTCTTGTTTTTATATGCTATCTGTCATGAATCTGTTGTCACTGTAAGAAGGCAGAAATCCCTTACAGGCAAGGTATACTAAAGGTTGTATTTCATGAGCTCCTGCTTGTCCTGAGCATTGACCAACTTGTAGTTTAATTTGTGATTGAGAGTCCCAAACATGATCTAGCTTTGATGGTTCAAAAGGAAAATAGGAATGGGGGCAGGCCTCCTGCCAGAGGTGCAGAGTTGCAGCCTGTTCCTCCTTTTATTTTACGATGACATACCATCGTAATTGTGTGTGAGAACAGCATGCCTTGACCTCTGTTTCCAGCTGTGCTGTTTGGATGAGCGCAGCATGCCAAGTGAGAGCGGTTTTACTGAGTGCATATGCTGTAGAATGGCAGAATGACAAAGGAGGCAGCTCGGTGTGCTTTTGATGGTGTTGTCATCTTTCCATTAAGAAAGTAATTTCCTTATGCCCCTATCCACCTCTGTAGTAAGTAGTTCAATTCCCTTTTTCTGTGTGAAGGAAGAAGCAAAGATCATGACCTTAGTGCTATCTTTCTAAACTGACGTTAATGCACAGTGTCATTTTGGGCCACTTTGACTGCATTTGGTCGAGGCATATGAACCACGGGTTTTTGAACTTCCATTTTCTTTCAGGTTTTCCTGGTCTTTTTCTCAGGGATAAAGGTTTGCCTTTAGTAAGCCCAGTGAGGGGCAGTCTAGTTTTAGTTTGGCCATTAAGTGATCCTTCCAGCCAATAGAAAAAAACCATCTGGAACGATAAGTGCTTACCTCTTTAGTGTGTGCATTTTTGTCTCTGAAAGATTTAGCTGAGCAATTCTGCTTCCTCACAGCTGGAGAGCTTGTGTTGCAGCAACCTTTTATAGTCACCCAGAATACTGAGTGCACTAACAGTGCAGAATGATCAGTTTTCTGATTATTATTTACTAGTTTTACTCATAAGATCTTAGAGCTTTTGGTTTACCTACTTTACAAGAGCGTGCAGTAGAAAGAGAAGGAAATTCCCATCGCTCAGCTGAGAGGCTTGAGAATGTGTTTCGCTGCATTGCTCTCTGTGTTCAGGTGCAGATGGGTGGTTAAACATGCAGAGCATGAGTCTGCATTATAGTTGGGACAGAGTCTGGAGCATGGTGTGCTTTGTACATTTGAAGATCTGTTGGGAATATCACTGAAGCAGCACCTGAGTAAAAGGGCACAAAGGCAGTTCATCAGTTGTGTACTGTGAGCGAGGTACATTGGGGTGAGCAGAAAGGTGGCAATTTCTTTTTTTCCTGGAACCATCATCTTCAGCATGCTAAGTGACTAGAGAACTGGTGAACTTGATAGCCTTTCAGCACTGCAAAATAGTTGGAGAGAGCAAGTATTTTCTTTTTTAGCCTTTTAAAATTAATTTTTTATTTTGTTAAAATATTTGCTTTTAAATTAATCTGCCCAGTTTCTGCCTGATAGAAAGACAGAATTTCTTGCTGCTAATGCAAAGAAACTTCACCCATCGCCATCTTCTTAATAGTATATGAGAAGCAGAGCATGAAAGGCTTACTCCATGGTAAGAAAGCATAGGATGACAGAACAGCAATTTAAAATTATTTAAAGGTATTTTTAAGATAGATGTTTACCTAACCATAATATGCTGTTCTTCTGCACGTTCTGTTTACCTTACTTCAGGGTATATCAGGGAAAAGACTATTTTGTGAGCTGACACAGGAACAACCACAATAACCATGGATAAAATACAAAGAGCAAATTTATTGTCCTTAGCTCACTATCCGGGAGATCTCCAAAGCAGCACCTGGGCCACAGGCATGTAAGAGGGAACACAAGCACTGTGGAGCTTGGTCCTTTCTAGAAGGAGAGTGAGAGATTCCAAACTTGCTGCTTTGCCCTGTATATTAAGGATTTTTTTCAGGCAGCAGTTTTCCACTGTGCTTTGATCTTTCTCACAGCGTAGCTATGTTACCTGAACACCGACGTTCTACTTGTCAAGCACATAAGACTAAACAACAATTAGTAGTGTGATGTGTGTGGTTTTTGACATCCTTGGGGCAAGTCACTTGAGCATGGTTACAGTCCTCTTCACCAATCTTCCGTTACATTCCCACAACTGTAGAAAGCACTTACGCACAAGTGGTTCTCTAAGTACAGGAAAATGGACAAGTGCTCATGAATGGATATATAGGACAAAACCACATTTTCCAAAATAATGCATCAGGACCTCTTGGCCACTTTTGTCAGTCTCTGGTTTAAATTTCTTTTGTGACCACAATTAATTCCTTAGCTTGGAAATGTAGATACTCTGTCAGAGTGTCACCACAGATGGCAAACAGAATGGTGGAATCTGCAAGGAGCATCCTGAATAAATTCCTCCCAGATATTTATATCTACACAGATCATATGAGGGGGATCAGCTCTGGAAAGTGAGTATCCAGTATTCACAGGAAACAGAAATGTGATTCTGCATTTGTTCCTCATGTTTAATATTGCAGGTTAGTTAGTCTTGTGGCTCCAGACTCTTAACAGTGGTTAGAATTGTGAGAACTTTTCTGGGAGCTATGAGTTTTTGATGTCTGTTTTGGTTTTTATCCATGTATAAAGTGGGAAGGTCAAATTAATTGGGGCAGCAGCATTACATTTACTACTTGCATGGGTAGCCCATGCAGAGGGATAAATAATAGCATGGGAAGAAGAACTGAATCCCTCTCCACCTGGCTGGTGTGTGTAGCTTTCTGATGCTGCTGTGCTGTCCCATTCAGCGTTAAGTATAGTGCCAGTACAATTGCAGTGTAGCTGATACTAACATAGTGGCTCTTTGTCAAAGCTTTCTTTATTACCTGGTTCCCAGTGCTTGGATGTATGTCTTGGCAAGACAAGAAGGGAAAGCAATATGCCTTGTTATTTCCAATGCTGCCTCTGGTGATGAGTAAGACCAGCAAGGATTAGTTCAGCCCATCTATGCCCAACCCAAACCCAGTCCTGATTTCAGAATGTAAAGCATTGAGCTACATCCCTTCCACAGTGCCAGAAGCTTCAGGGAATACATTATTTTAGCATCTTTCGCCACCTATAATGTCTCTCTAAACAGAAACTTCCCGGTTCTGTTTTGAGCATTTGCAGCAAGAAGTTTGTGCAGATGCTTTGTAACACTGTCTGCACATACCTGAGGCATTGGGTTGTTTTCGTTTTTTATTTAGGCAGATTGTCACATGCTGCTGAACACTAACAGAATCTACCAGTAAAGGATACTTGTCCAAAAAATAGCATCTTTGACACTGTTCTTGTCTTGCTGTCTAGATCTCTATCTCTCTTTCAGAGGAAGGAGAGGAGAAGAGAAACATCTTTTAACATAGCTTCTGTGTTTGCTCAGCAAGTGCAGGCAGTTAAATATAGATGGGAACCACTGATACCTTTTCATTCCCACCCTACTGAAATGCCTCTGGAGGAACTGTTGTTTTTCTGGCACCAGGAGAGCTTGTGTGTATTGGTGTTTGGGTTTGGATTTTATGGGTTTTTTTGATGCTGATGACATTTCTTACAGTTCTGGGTCAGTGGGACTTTTTGAATTTAAGAATTCAGATGTTGGAGGCAGCAGGACTCCAGAACTGTGGGAAGTTAAGTTGACCTTATTTTGAATGACTGGCTATTGGTGCTCTTCCACAGCCTATAAATAAAAGGATCTTGTTCGGGTTTTTTCCCCTTCTTTACAACTTTCTGACTTCTCAGCAAGCTGTACTCAGCCATCTGACTTTCTTGTAGCAAAAATGTTTCTTAACTCTCACAGTATAATTTTGTAGGATCCTAAACTCTGAGGAAAATAAGGACTTTTTATTTCTTTCTTCAAATCATACATTCAGAATTCTTACATGGTTGTAATGATTTGGATGATACTGAACTGCAAGTGAAAAGAAGCAACCATACATGTAATGTAGGTCTTTGTTTGTTTATTCTCCTGCTTGATGCCGTGGCTATGGTCTCATCTTGCTAAATGTTGAAACTTACAGAAAGAATATGGAAAGAGCTTGACCTCTCAAGAAACTTAGTTTTGGTTTTCAGTGTTGCAGAGAAGAAACTCCAGATACCTTTGAAATGTTCATCAAACATGAATTAAATAAATGTGAAAGACAGTATTTTGCTTCTAATAGAGGAGGAGATTTATGAGGATTGGTTGTGGTTTTCTTCTTTTTTTTTTTTCCTTTCCTTTTTGCCTTTAAAGAATTTGTGCCAGAAATAGCCAGCACAGTGGGATTGGGGCAAGCTGTACTAGGTTTAACTTTCAAATACTTTGTTAATGTTTTTTCCAGGGTGAATAAAATGTACAGAACGGGAAATTTTTCAGGAAGTCCAGATTCCTAGTCTTGTCCTATGAGAAGAGCTGTTTGTGACTTGAGGATGAGGTTGACTGGGAGTAGTTCTTGGCTCGTTACTCCATTTTTGTCCTTAAATCAAATGCACTTTTTCCTTTTCTTTCAGATCACCGGGTTTTGGCATGTGCCTTACTGCAGAAACCATCAATGGCACTATTCTCAGTGCTGAGCTAGCCTCAAACCCTCAGGGCCAGGGAGCAGCTGTGCTTCCTGAGGAACTTGGCCAGAATTGTGCTAAGCTGTTGCTAGAGGAGGTCTACAGGGTAAGTGGCCGATATGTTTTTTGTGTATAGCTGTAGGGGAAGAAGGTAATGACATACTGGTAAAGGAGGAGGTGGTTTGGGGGTGCCCTCAGACAGGCTCAGATCCAAACAGAAATGATCTGATGCTGCCAGCATCTTCATCTAGGTAAGGACTGGTTTTGAACTGTTCCATTAACAGTCTAATGACTTACTGGGCCATGTTATTTCCCACGTCCAGGAGATGTTACTATGAATCATAGTAGTGGTTTATTTTTTTGTTGCTTTCTGTCTGCACCAGAATTAGGTTGGTTTCAGGTGAGTTGTTACTTTTTTTAATAATAAGTTGGAGGGATAATAGAGTCAGTGCTCTTAAGCTAGTGGTTGGAATGGGGCATTATGAGTGGGAGAACGTATAAGGAAGAAGAAGGGGGAAAAAAAGCAGCTAGTCTCAGTAGTGGCTGCTTTATGGTGATGATGGCAAAGTCAGATGAGCTGAAATCTGTTGGTTGTATGAGGAATCAGCTGAATGGTTTGTTGGAAAGGAGTTAGGACAGTGTTTGCATAGGAATCTTAAGTGCATCAGTCTTTTTTATTATTATTAAAATGTTTTTAATTTGTGGTGAGACTTTTAGTCTTACAAAGCTTTCAGTCTTACAAATTATTTGGCAATAAGCATCATAGTGAGTTTCTGGTTTAATAAAGAACCTACCTGCTTTTGTTTTATATCTCCACAAGTGTTAAAATAAGTAGCTGTTAGTATTGACAAAACACATTTGGCCTTTAGGAGGCAGTCTTCTACAAATTGTATTCACTGTTTTAAAAAAAAATAATTGCTCTGAACTGGAATAACCTGATAGGACTTTGCAAAATATTAAAAATGCTATTAATGAGATTCTATATTAGGTAATGTAGTAAATCATAAAAATACCCCTTAACCTCATAAATCACATCTGTGCCTGTGGTAGATTGTTCATCTGTGCCCATGTCATCTTTTCCTTTCTGTGCTGCAAACCCTTAATCTGTCTGAATTACCAACTTGCTGACTTGTTCCAGTCTTCCATTAATATTTTGTCTCTGTTTATTCAGTATGTGCACCATGTTGCTAGAGAACTTTCCCTTTCTAGCGCAGGGTTCTTATCTCATAGAAATGTCACAAATATTCATCCTGGGTGTAGTCCAGGCCCTTTGCATTTGAAAGTCCAACATGCATGGAGAATGCAGCCACAACTAGTGACCGAAACATCTGTCTGTTTCTACAATTATGTAGTGACAGGTAGCTATTTTTATTTGAGGGGTTTCAGCTTCCCCCCCCACCACCCCCCCCCCCCCCCCACCCCCAAAAAAGAAAAAAAAAAGCCACAAACAAACAGAAAACCAAACCAACCTAAAATTTGGTACATTTGTTGCTTTGTGTAAACCTTTTGGAAAACATCTTCAGGTCATCTGATGACTGGAGGCATCAAAAATACAATTTCCACATACTTTTATCAGCAGCAGTAGGTGTTTTTTCCCTTTGAAAACCATCCATCCCTTGACAGATTAAAACTAGTGAGGGAAGTTGTCCAGACGTTATACTCTCTTCAGAGTCAGATGTCAGAGAACTTCCAAAATGAAGAGGGCTGTAAAGGCCTGAACCAGGTAATTTTCTGTTGTAGAGTATTGTAGCCATTTGAATGTGATGAGTCAAATTTTGCAAAGCACCAGGATAGTGAGGATCTCAGGACAACAGAAAAGTCATTTGAGGAAGAAACAGAGTCAGGCAAACCTTTGAACGATAGAGTGAAAGGCCATGAGGTTTCAATGGCTCTGAAGATCAGGTTCTTAATGAGTGGGTTTGTTAGCTGTGGCCTGCTATGGTACCACTGGTGCTCCTGGAAGGCTTTTTTATGTGTGGGCAACTTCCATCCAAGTGTGACTGACAAGTGCCAAGCAGTGTACGGACTGCTTGTGGTCCTCCACTGCAGCAGCTCACAGTGGAACGCTTCTTGTTTGTTAGCATTTTTAGCTTTTGTGCTGCTTATCCACAGGACTGCTCAGTCCTTACTCAGTTAGTGAATCCCCCGCTCCCTCAGTCAGGGGCGATATGATGGGCTTTGTTCTGTAGTTTTCAGAATGCACACTTGAATTTATGTATGGCACATGCTCACACAGCCCATCTTTCCAAATTCCTGGCTAGTGCTTTCTCATTGATTTTATTTATTTATTTATTTTTGGTTTGGTTTGGTTTTTTGAGCTTAGGTCACTTTGATCTAGTGTTGACCCCAGACAAGATATAAAAACATGTTGCAAAGTGTGTGCAATGTTTGCTTAGTTTGAAGATACTATTTTTTTAAAGTTTCTTTTCCTAGATAAGGTGTCTAGTGAAACGGTAAAAATTTGGGAAAGCTGTGCATGAGGCAAGAATAGGTTGCTCTGAACAGGCACTCTAAGTCTCACTCTCTTTATACCAGCTGCTCGCTGAATCTGAGGCTCAAGGGAGAATTTCTGTCCCTGTGTTTAGTTCCTTTCTTTGTGAGATTGTTTCTCCATCTGTGTCTTTGCCTGTAGCTACTGTACAGCAGGAGCCAAGGAGGGTTGACCAAAAAAGGGCATCCTGGGAGCACTGGAGATAATTCTCTGTAGAAGGGTTTTAGCTGTTGAGGTCACCCACAAATCTGCTGGAGTTCATTACTGTTTAAAGGGGCCCAGGGACATAAGTGCTTGCTTAATGCTTGCTGTTCTGTGAACTTCACCACCTAGGAAACCTAACGATTTGAGTCTTGCTACGTTCAGATGCTAAAGGGACCTTTTTACTAAGCCTTCAAAAAGAAATGATACAATTCCTGGAGTCAGTGGAGCTTTTTTATGTACACTTGTTGATTGAAAGATGTTGGAGCTAATTGACTAATAATAAGTGGCATAGTGCTAATTACATTGGCCGTGAAAGAGGGGGCATGGAGTGACTGGCTAGCATTGTCTTTACAAATTCATAAGCAGTTCTTACCTAAGCTTAATTGTAGAAGAGATTTTCCTCTTGTATTTGACAGGCATTAGTTATGGGAACTTTATCTAGCAGGTGATGGGCAGAATGGAAAGGCATGGAAGAACTGGAAAAGGATTAAATGCTTGTATTCCTTGTAATCATGCGAAATCAGGGAGGATGCAACACCTATTTTAATGAAGAAATGTTGAGTTTGCTAGGAAGGTTTGTGGGGGCAGGAGGGGTAAGGCTGTTTTCTTTAACTAAAGCTAATAAGAGTGAAGCATTTCACTGAAGGCTTATTTTTCAGGGTGGCCTTACTTCAGTGTGACAAGGCTCTGCTCCATTCTTCTAAAAAAAATAAACTAAAACAAACTGCACATCACATAACAAATTACTGAGGCATGCAATTATGTACTGCACAGGTAAGAGAGGAAATTGTGTGCATGCCAAAATATAACCAAGACTAAATCAAAGCTAGGCTTAAGCTCAGAAAAATAATCACCTTCAAGACACTGTTGTCCAATACCCAGAGTTGTGATATTTGTGCATGCATGTCATCTGTGGTATTTATATAACAACATTTCAAAATAGATGGGATTTTAAGTAATACGTGTCTCTAATTGTCACATCCAGCTGGATCTGGCTCTGTTGTCAGTGGAAACAATAATGGTGAAACTGCCATAAACTGAATTAATATGGACTAGAAGTTGCATCCTAGGGTGGTAACAAGTGCCAGCTGTTTTGGAACAAATGTCAGTACTCTGCCTGTGACTTTGCCCATCCTATTTCTTGTGGGAGGGTTGTTTTTTATTTTGGACTTGAGTAAGTTGCAGGTGGATTGAGAGAAAAAAAGTTGTCTTCCTTGGGAGTGGCATGTTCTTCATTTGGCATAATTTACTGTTCTGTCATCATTAGATTACAAGCAAATCACTTAATTTCCATGTCTGGCAACTGCCTATGTGGGAATGGCCGTAACAGTGCATTGCTAATGCACAACAATAGCGAGGACAACTGACTCACTGCAGCAAGAGAGCTTATGTAAGCAGCTAGAACGTGATGGATGCAGCATGTTTTGCTATATTGTTTAGGACTGTCTCCATGTTGATTGAAGCTTTTGTATAAATTTGGTTATAAAAACAGATGTTTTATAATGTTTTCAGCTTTAAAAAAAAAAAAAAAACTCAGAAAAGGTAAAGTTTTTTCTTAGTATAAAGAATGAACTACAAATACAGAAAGTCTTATGTCAGGAATACTCCTTAACAAGCTCCCACCTGCTTCTTGTACATGTTTCAGATTTGCAAATACAGCTGGTAACAGCTGTGGCTCTAGATCACACTAGCAAATTCTGCAGGTACCCTGTTTGCTCGGTGGACGTTAGTTGCAAGAAGTGCAGAGGCTTCTTTTCAGAAAAATGGAGCTGAGACTTGTCACACTGAAGCAAGTCCATCTTGAAAATTAAATCTTCAGTAACCCTCCTTTGAGAAGGTCCTCCTTGCTGTCCTCTCACTGAGCAAACATGCTGAGGTTGTCGCATCATTGTGTTTTCATAAGCTATGTAGTCCAAAATTTATTTTCCCCCTCCCTTGCCTGTTTAGGTGGTATTTCTTAAAATGTTAGGTTACTGCTTACCCACAAAGGTAACTGCCAGTTTACCTCATTAGAGAATTTGGTTTTAAGGGGATGAATTTTTAGTTTTGCTCTCTCCAGAGAGTCTATTCAGAGAGTTTAGCATTAGGCCTGATCCAGCAGGAAACTGTTAGCAGATTCCATGTGGCTGTGGATCAGGACGATTATGAGGACAGTCAGAAATATTATACCAGATATTTTTTCTATTTTCAATCTGTTTGCATAGTCATCATTGGTAAATTCTCTCTACAGTCTTGACTAAAAATATCCCTTTTAACTTATGTTCAAGCTTTGTAAACAAAGCCTTCCAATTCTAGTTTACATGTACATCATAATTAACGCTTTCCACATACAAAACAATTTACCATGCATGTATGACTTACTACAGTCAAATATGCATGAGGGTTTGTGTTGTTCTACATAATTTTATGCCTGGCTCTTTCACATAGCAATAAAAAAATTCTTCCCATTTTAAATATGGGGGAAAAAATGTTTTACAAATGTAGAACCACAAATGTTAGCAGCAAGGGCTCAGGTGGATGTGTGTGTAACAACTTTTAAGTTGCTGTTTTGTACCTAAGGCTAAACTATTTGTCCAAATGCAATTTTTAATAGTTATCATGAAGTACTGCAATTCATGGTATCATCCAATGTGCATGAGCTGTAATTAATACCTATTTTCAGTTTACTGCAAAGAAATTTGTCCGTGCTTACATTCTGCGATGCTAGAACAGGTTGCGGGAGATGGGAGGGATCTTTAATGTGACCTTGTTACTGGGTCTTGGTTTAGTTCTGTTCTTTTCCCAGCGTGCCATATGAAATTAGTTTGTCATTGTTAAAAAAATCTTTTCGACCCTTAGAAATTGGGAGTGGTAGTTCAGCCTTATAAGTGTGTCATTTTCTTTTGTTACTCTCCTCCCATCTGAATTTCTGGTTTCTACAGAGACTAATTATTAAAACATTTTGGTTTGCAGGGAGGCTGTGTGGATTCAACAAATCAGAGCCTTGCTCTGCTTCTCATGACCCTTGGACAGCGGGATGTTTCCAAAGTCCTGTTAGGACCTCTGTCTCCATATACGTAAGTTGTTCTGTTCAGTTTAGTTACCCAATCTTGTTTAATTCGCTAGTTTTATTGCATAGCTATTTTTGTATATGGAAGACTTTGCCTGTGGCTATGAATAGAACCAGTTGTACCTGTCTTCAAATGACACAGGTGATGAAAGTTGCCTAGTGTTTATTTCTACATGTTAGAAGGTGATTCCCTTACTGTTATCTGTATTATTCCTGGTTCTGAGGCAATTAGAATTGCAGAGGTGATGGGGTTTATTGTTCGGTCTTGGTCTTGGATTCTATGTGTACATCAGTTTGCTTTTTGTTGTTTAGCATTTACTACTGTGTTTTCCTAGTGATCTCTCTAGCTGTGGTGTTAAATGGCATGTTTCAAATGCATAGCCAGATGCTAAAGCTGTGATTGTCCATAGGAAATGGCTTAAAGAGTTCAGTTGATGGAGCTGTCTGCAACCCCAAAGCTTTAGCCCTGTTGGGCAGTGGACTTCAGAGGAGGGAAAAAAGAGTAAATTTCTTACATTGCTAGTTGCAAGACACAGGTTAGAGGAAGCTCATCCAGTATCAAACATCTCATTTTACTCTATGAGACTGACAAGTGATTGACTAGATCACAGTTACTCCTAGAGTGACTAGTTTTCATTTAATCAAATGGAGAGAGGGTTGTTTATCTGAAAATGGCATCAAATAATAAGACTATGAACTGTCCTTTTTCGGTTATCATGGTACCGGTGCTGTATACGTGAAAGGTACAGTACTGTGATAACTGAAGAATGGTGGTGCCATCACATGAGAGCTAGAAATTGCCTAACTGCTGTTCTCAACCCCTGATATCTTGGAAACAACATTCATCAGATTTTGAGGGGAAGACAGGGAAGCCTCCCATGGCACAGGGGTAAAGTAATCCCTGTAAAGTAAGTATCCATGTGAAAGGCTTACAAAGAGTAGATATCAGTGTTTGAAGTGCACAGTTAAGCATGTGAAACAAACCAATCACTTGTCATTGTCCACTCTTTTTTGTCTTTTTTTTTTTTTCCTTGATGCTATGAAAATCATGCCGGCACACTGGTTTGTTTTGTAAGCAGGCTAATTTCAAATGGGTGGGTTGTCAGTTCTTCCAGGCTAGGAGTGTGTGGCAGGGATGAAGGTCAGGAGCAGACATCCTGAAGCAGCTTGTGTCACATCAGATTATAAAAACCTGTGATTCTGTGAGAATCTGTGACTCATCAGTCCTATGAGGATCTGTTCAGAGATCATGCAGCTCTGTTCGCAGCTCCCCTGTGCCCTCACTAGGGCAGCTCATAAAGGGCTGGGAAATTGGGTCCAGAGCAACTCATCGATGCATGGGCTTTTGAAGTAAATTCCAGTACGGTCATGTTGCGCTTCATTGTCCCTCCTTTTCTCTCTTGGGGCTGTGACGTCTCTGCCTTTAACGCTTTTGCCCTGCAGAATCCAAAGCTATTTATAGGCCGTCGCCAGACGGGCTTCCCTGTCTAGTGCCATGTAGCATGAGCGTGACACTTCAGCTAGCGGACGAGAGCACTGTTTGGAGCTGTGGTGCTTTGGAATACATCCATCAGAATGAGGGAACATCTCCCAAATTTAGTGGTGTATTTCCGCAGGAGACAGACTTTGCTGCTGCTGATGGCATGGAGGGAGGCAGGGGGGAACCCCATGAGCAGGTACTGGGATATGAGTCCCAAAAAAAGCGCTTGGCCTGTGCCCATCTGGAGTGCCCCCTCTCATCCTAGGCTCCAGATTTCACAGAAGTAATTGCCTCGCTCGCTGTAAAGCTGAGCTCAAAATCAAATGCAGG